TTTCTTGGAGCAGAGGAAAATGTTAAACTGCAGCTATCCGTTATGTCGGCCATTTTGCCCCATGTGTGTGTTGTGCTGCTTCATGTGCCTTGGGAAAGACAGAGGCCTTGCTTGGATTACTGCCTGGACTGCACTTCTCAACAGACTGGTCTGATATATCCATTTATGGCTACTACTAGCTAGCCTTTCCTCCACACCTTTCCCCTGGGGGAGGGTTAGTAAACAGGGACATTTGGTCACTGGGGGCAGGGTGTTCAGGAAAGGTGTATGTTATGTACTGATGGAGCTTGGGTCTGAGCGAAGGCTCCAAAGACCCTCAAGACTATTGGTTGTATTGCCTGTAACGGCCAATCATGTTTGTTGCTTATTACCCAATAGCTGCACTGTTAATAGTTACGTTGTATATGGTTCATGGAAATGAAGGACTCTAGCTGCCTACTTGGTACTGGTTGTTGTTTAATGTAGGTGTGGTTTTTACAAGTATAAATTGGTTCCTGTTGAGCCTGTATCTTTGGTTCAGAAGTTCAATAAAGAAGCATGTTATCATGAAAAGAGCTGCCTCGTCTCAATACTTAATAGTATCGTTTTCACTGTTCTTTAGGTATCATGTGGTTTAATATTTAGTTTGTTTTGATCTTCTACCTTTCCTTTTTTGTGTGCTTCTGAGAAGTTTGTGTCTTGTTTTTCATTGTGGTCCCCCCCCCGCCGCCCCGCCCTGGTTTGTTGGTTTTCTGGCTGCCTTCAGTTAACGTGTCACCCATTTCCCACCTTTCTTTTTGCAGATTAATAAGTGTTTAACTGCTTAGGGTTGACTAGCCCCCCCCCTTCATTCTCTTGGGTTACTTTAGAAGAAGAAGAAGAAGAAGAGGAGATTGGATTTATACCCTGCCTTTCACTACCCAAAGGAGTCTCAGAGCAGTTTACAAACTCCTTTCCCTTCCCCTCCCCACAACAGACACCCTGTGAGGTAGGTGGGGCTGAGAGAGAGCTCTTCACAGAGACTGCTCTTTTTCAAGAACAGCTGTGCCATAACTATGGCTTGCCCTAGGTCATCCAGTAGGTGCAAGTGGAGGAGTGGGGAATCAAACCCGGTTCTCCCAGATTAGACTCCGCGCCTTAACCACTACACCAAACTGGCTAGATAGATTGTATTGTATTGGGCTTTTAATGTTTTCAAATACCAAATTTTAAACTAGAAAGAAAGTTTAACCAGCTGCCACCAAGAACAACTTTGCAGTCACCAAGTTCGGCTAAAAAACCAAAAATCACTGCCCCGGAAAACCGGCAGCCATTTTCCTGCCTTTTTCCCCTGTGAAGAGGGGATGGTTGCAGGCACCTTATTCAAGAGGCTGCAAAACCACACTCCTTTGTCCAATTCACTTGAAATCTGGGGAGTCTTTAGACGAAACAATGGAGCAGGGCCCCTGATATTTTGAGACCGTTTGGTGAAAAAAACGTCCATTCAGGAAAATTTGCCACTTCCCCCCATGGAAAACAATGGGCAGACATCCAATCTGGAACCCGACCGGTCCTCATAATACAGCATTCCCGAGAATTCTTAAACCCAATACACCTTCCCCTTCCTTAATTTATGATGTGGAATTAAAACGACAATTTGCCTGTGCACACCTCCAGTCACCATTCTCTGTATTATACCAAAAAAGTCCTTTTTGTACCCAAACCATTTCAAGCAGTTGGGTACACTTATCTAGGTTAGGATTTATTTATTTTTTGCGCAACGCAGACAACAACCTGTTTCTGAAATGATCATTAGCAAGTGCAAGCTGGCCTCCAACTGTTGTACCCATCTAAGAATGCTAAAAAGGTTTCATAAAAAAAACCTGATAGCGATCTGTCTGTGCTGTCCTTAAAGGCATTAGGTTCATGCCAGTACGCCGAGTAATAGCTGAGAAATTAATTCATTGCGATAAATCCTTTATTGCTGCCGGAACATACAGGCCTCCCTGAGAACCATGAAAGAGAAGAGCAGCTTTAATTACGGGCTTAGTGCTCTCCTCAGCAGACCCACGAGAGAGAAGTAAATATTATACACTATGTGTTTTTCGTCCTTAAAAGCATCTCGCTCATTCCCAAAAGAAACTGGACACACACACACACACCCGCAAAAGAAATTATTCAGTTTTTGTCTCCAGTCCTTAACGTCTCTATTGGAATCCTGTAGTGTTAATGCACAGCCCTGGTTCTTTTCAGAAAAATAAAGCAAGGCTCAAGTGGTTAAGACGCTGAGCTGCAGGCTGTGGAAGGTCGGTAGTTCAGCAGTTCGAGCCCCGGGTGCCGCAAGATGGGGTGAGCTCCTGTCTCTAGTTCCAGCTCCTGCCAACCTAGCAGTTCGAAAGCAAGAAATTGCAAGTAGATAAATAGGTCCCCCTTCGGTGGGAAGGGAACGGCGTTCCGTGTGCCTTGGTGTTTAGTCATGCCGGCCACATGACCACGGAGACGTCTTCGGACAGCGCTGGCTCTTCGGCTTTGAAACGGAGATGAGCACCGCAACCCTAGAGTCGGACTCGACTGGCTTTCGAGCAAGGGAGACCTTTACCTTTACCTATATATACGTACACACGAGGCTGCCTTCTACTGAAGCAGACCACGGATCCAGCAAAGTCAGGTTTGTCTACTCAGACCGGCAGCAGCTTTCCAGTGTCTCAGGTGGAGGCCTTTCACATCACCTGCGACCTGGTCCTTTTAACTGGAGGTGCCGGGGAATGAAACCTCAAGACCTTCTGCATGCTAAGCAGGTGCTCTGCCACTGAGCCACGGTCCCTTCCTACTGAACGCTCTGAACTCGAGTAAGGAATAAGGTGGGTGAGGGACGACTGAAGTTCGGTCCAGAAAAAAATGGAGCTGCTGGTCAGTAAGAAACTGCAAAAAACAAAAGGGATCACAGGTATCCAACAGGTAAAACAGCACACAAACAAAACCCTGCGCTATGACCAACATTAGTACGATAGCTTTTTGAAAACTTTATAAGATTGCTTAGGGAGAGCATAGCCAGCAAAATCCAGATGGCTTTTGGTTTGCTCCCAGTATAAACACTTATTATGGAACCAGAAGATATTATGAAGGAATGAAGGAATTACAATACTGAGCTGGATTAAGAAGCTGACACCTCCTGACAATATAGGATTACACCTGAGGAAGACTGTAAAGTTGAAATGAGTCCATAACCGGGTACTCATAATGTTGGACTATGTTGGACTTTTTTGCAATATTGTACAATTGAGAATTTTTGCAATCATATAAAGTTTTTTAAAAGCTATTGTGCCAATGTTGGTCATATTGCAGGGTTTGTTTGTGTGTTGTTTTTCCGGTCAGTAGTAAACTGCCTGCTCTAGATGAGTCTGCACTCCTCCAGAAGGACCGGATTAGCTTCTAGATCCATTGCCATTGACAGAAGCTCACGTGAACAAATGAAGCTGCCTTGTATTGAATCAGACCCTTGGTCCGTCAAAGTCAGTACTTCCGCGGGGCCTGCAAGACGGAGCTCTTCCACCAGGCCTTCAGTTAAGGAGCTGCCTCCAATAACAACTGGAAGGCATAGAGCCCTGTCCCCTGGTTTCCACCATCTACAGCCTGCGCTTGCCGCACATATATAAACAGACCCAGGGCTTTTTTTGTAGAAAAAGCCCAGCAGGAACTCATTAGCATAACAGACCACACCCAACAGCAGAAACTCATTAGCATTTTAGGCCACACCCATGACAATACAGTTCATTAGCATATTAGGCCACACACCCCATGTTACCAGAAGTGTGGTCTTCCAGCCACACCCACCTTTTGCTTCTTATTCTGTTTACCTTGTTTGTTGTCAAAACCCAGGGCCTTTTTTTGTAGCAGGAACCCCTTTGCATGTTAGGCCACACACCCCTAATGTAGCCAATCCTAATGAGTTCCTGCTGTTGGGTGTGGCCTATTATGCTAATGAGTTCCTGCTGGGTGTGGCCAACTCGGGAGCCAGCCGGAACTCCGTTCCTGTGTGTTCCTGCCCAAAAATAGCCCTGAACAGACCAATGAGCTGACCATCAAGGCAGACCACCAAATATATCAACATGACCGTTACCACCATCTTAAGCAATATTATTAGTATAGATCTGTACTAGCACTTTATGATAATGAATTGTTTTAGAAGATTTTATGATTCTTATGATTGTTATTTATGTGTTTTTATCTTTTATGTAAGCCTCCCTGAGCCTGCTTTGGCGGGGTGGGTGGGGTACAAATTGAATAAATAAATAAATAAAATAAATCAGACTGGCAGAGGGGCTCTCCAGGGTCTCAGGTCTGAGATGCCGAGGACTGAACCTGGGACTAATGTTCCCTCTAAGCTGAGTTAGTGTGAGCTAGCTCACAGTTTTTCAGCTTCTGGCTCGCACATTTTTGTCTCAGCTCAGGAAGGAGGGCTCCAGAGCAAACTAATTCATGAAGCAGCCAAATTGCTCGATCACAACTTTAATGCCAGGAGCTCACAAAGTAGAATTTTTGCTCACAAGACTTCACGGCTTAGAGGGAGCCTTGCCTGGGACCTCCTGCATTTCAAGTAGACTCTGTCACTGAGTAACGGCCCCTGTCCCCCGAGTTTTAGATGACAAATTTTTATTTTCCCAGGCTCTTTATGGTATCTGATGATTGTTTCTGGTTCATATATTGGTTTTTAATTTGCACCGTCACAGACTGGTTAAAGTAAAGCTGTTTTGGTGCTTCTTTGGCCATAAGACTAATGGGATAAAGAGGGGATACCTCTTTATCCATACCTAGGATGGGCCCTAACATGCAAATTGTGCTTAACCCTTTTAACGTACAACAGACTTGACACGCAACTCATCCTTTAGCATAACAACAACAAAAACAGCAACGGCAATCATCATCTCCTGATGGCACTGGTATTTCTGGCCACTGTGTGACACAGAGTGTTGGACTGGATGGGCCTTTGGCCTGATCCAACATTGGCATCTCTTATGTTCTTATCTTAAGGAGGAACTCACCATAAACAAATCACGGGCACCTATATCAACAGCAAGCAGAAAAGCCTTCTCAAATCTTTGATACCTGCAAAATAAGGGGAAAGTATCTTTACTGAAGATGTACTGAATTACTGAAGATGTACTGATAAAAGTACATTTACTGTAGATTAAAAATAAAAGGATCAATACGAAAAATACAGAGGTACAAGTTTGGAATTTTTTACCAAGCAGTTTATTAATGATACCTGAGTTACGTTTGTCATACCCGTATAGCAATTCATTTTCTGCGAGAAAATTTAAAATATAATAATAATGATAGTAAATATAGTCTAATTAAAACTAGAATAATTTATAAGGGCTGCTGAACTTAATTGTCATGTCCCAGCCTACTGAGTCTGACACAGACTTGAACAAGGAGTTGAAACAGGGCCAGACAGATATTCATGGAGGAGTGGAAGCTATGAATGGCCCACACATTGGCTGAACCAGAAACTCCACCCAAAGAAGAATAGTCAGAGGGCATAACCCTCTAGACTTGAACTCCTGTAAGCAGTCACTCCCACCCATGTACCCCTGCAACAACCGTGTAAGATGCTGCAAGCATCCAGGAAGATATTTATTGTCATATATA